ATGGCTATTCAGAGAAACCCCGGTCAGACCAAGAGAACAACCAGATGCATATCCACTTCGCGGGTAGCCAGTTCAGTCTCACCACACTTACCGAATGAAGATTGGGATAGTCAGGAGTATGACCATGAGAAGCTTACGACTAAACGATACTGAGTTGTGTGACGATGAACTGAAAAAGCTAACTCCGATATTTCTTGAAAAAGTCAATACAAAACATACTAATGGTGATGAGCAGATGGCAGGAAATACAAGCAAGGGGGGAGAGGAAACACGATTGATATTTCTACGCTCCTGGAAACTAGTTCGGTGGCAACATTCTCTACTAATAAAATGGAAAATTCGTATAATCCCGAAGATATGGACAGTCCTCTTTACCAGCTTGTCTAGACAACATGAAAAAGTCAACAAAATGGAGGGATCTGGAGTTTACAGCATTAACTACAAGGACTGTAAGCAACTGGAAGGGCAATCAGTCCAAGAAACGCAGAGCACCAGATACTCTACAGGACAATGGATACTAAAAGAACGGAGATAGTTGAACACAGTGTCCTAACCGGCCATATAATTGACTGGAGTGCAACGGAAAGACCAGCCTCATTTTGGGAGGACACCAGGAAACGGTAAACCATGGAGGCCGTGGGCATTCGCCTCTAAAGAAACCTGATGAACAGTAGATTGGAAGAGGATAGAGTCAGCGATAATTTCGCGCATTGCTTGAGTAGACTTGGAGATTCAGCAAAAACGGCTAAAATAGAGCTTTGGAGTAAGAACAGCTATTCAGCAAAACGAAGAAACATCGTCAGGAAGAGGATCATGAGTGAACAATGAAAGTCAAGAAAAGGCGATTGCAGTAAGAGAAGTCAAACCTGGAATCAGCATAAAAGGTTACGGGTGTAGGTTAACCTGTAGTATATGAAAATAAAGGCTAGGCTGAAGACAAAGGTCTATTTAAAATTCCCCTTAGTTTGGAAGTCGAGCACATACATTGTATGCATGTGTGTGTGTATGCCTGTGGTGACAGGTGGTTACCGACATTCCTGAATAGTGAGGTTAGCAACTGATGTGCACATGCACAACTGACTAGAATCTTAAGATTGGGTTGGACTGCCAACTTAAGAAAGAATATAAATGTGTTTTACGTGATTTAGACATGTAGAAGAGAAGCGGTCTATTTTCACACCATCGGTTCCGAATCATCCAGACAGAGGACACCAGAGAATGAGGGTGGATGAGGGAGAATGAACTGGGGATGAGAACAAGGATAACTGGGTGATGGGTATGAAGCCTATGGAGAAGAAGATGCCTAAACATGAGAATTACCAGTTTTTAACTCCTCGCATATGACGTAAACTGGGGCTGGAATCGAAGACTCATAGGCAATGGAATCTAAAACGGATGGTGAATGTGATTACGCTTCACTAAATCCGTTTGAAGTGACACACTCTTAAGCGTTATTAGAAGAAACGAGAGGTGTGAATAGGTAAATGGGCCATATGAAGAGGGGTTGAAAGAAAGGTGGGACAAAAAATAGGTGAGGAGTGATCCCACAACGGATGAACAAAAATTGGTCAAGTGGGCTGCCTTCACTTGTCACTTTGATAAGTTGTAACTCTGTTCTTACGATGACGCCTCTCGACGATGCTGCTGAAACGTCTGGGAATGTACCAAGTCAACAGCCAGATGTGGAAATCATCATGAATGCTATAACAGAGCAAACAGGAGTAGGTACGTTCGACAAGGTCTCCCTGCCGCTCCGAGCAAGCTGCGAAAACGAGGTCATAGAAACACTATAAGGCTAAAGGAGACTGCGACCAAACAAAAGGCCCCACCAGTAGTTGAATTTACCCACAATGAAATGAGTATACATGACGTTTCCATTGAATTTCACATAGCCTTGCTTTCCAAAAAGGTATTCTCATCCAGGATATACTGCCTCACCTAGGTCTTATCAACGCCCCCAACAATAGTAGAACCGTTATGGTGATAAAGAGCTGGTAGTTGAACGAAGCAGAGTGAAAACATTTCATATATATGATCTACTGGTAGTTTCGAAAGCCTACTTGTAAACAAAAAATAAGTAACGTAGTTGATTGCTATAGCAGATACAACTTCGCTTTATCGACAATTCCACCAAAGAATGTGATATGGCAAGATTCCTGGCCTTCCTTGAAATTCACATCTGCTCTGTGACCCAAACGAGACTCGTGGCAATGTGGCGTAGTGGTTAGTGTCTCAAGATTATACGCCGCAATGTCATGGTTCGAATCCCGCTGGAGGTGCCGATAAAACCTAGGGGAGATCGAAACCGTAGTTCATCCTGGATGTGAATCCCATTGGGGAAAACGACGTTATGCTTCCTCATACCATTGTGGAAAACTTCAACGAAATAGGATGAATATATTTCATATATATCATGATCTAATGGCAGTCTCAAAAGCCTACTTATGAACTAAAAAAATGCACACCATCTTGGTCCTCATATCTATGATAAAGAAAGCATGAACTTTGTAAAAGCCGACTCTTAAGGAAAGACCGCATGAAGAGTTACGGTGAACCAGTGCCACGGTAGAAGCATCACTTCTCTCTATCATATGCGCCACAAGATATTACAAATAAAATGTCTCATGTGGCCCTTCACATGTTTCACTTTGCTTCCTCAGATGTCTAAATATATGCTTCGCTTTGACATCTGGTCTAAGTGCCAAATCTATCTTTGGAACATGCGAAGAAAAATTAGGTTCCAATCTGACTTTAATTTTGAATGAAAGTGGCCGGTATAAAGACGAAAGCCTCTCACGTTTTCACCAGAATTAAATTAAATAGCCCCGGATGCATCATCAAAAAGAATGTTCTAATAAAGCCAATCGCCATCGTCTTCTGGGGGGATCGAACTCGAAGTTCCTCACCAAATTCTTTTACTCGGAATAGAAGTGAGCTCAACAATAAGTGTTCGTTACGGTACTTCTGTTATGGAAAGTTTGCAAAATATTGAGCTCTTTAAAGGGCCCCGCAAGCTTTGCTTTACCCTGTGGCTAGTAAACGACGCAATCATTGGCTTCGGTATGAATTAGAGACTTAAAACAGAAGTGAAGTTCCGACTTTTGCAATCTGACGATTATGTTGTAGTTGAACACTCTACTTATTCTACTCTAAAGCTAATTCGATCATGTGCTAAGGTTCACAGGTGTTTCCCTCTCGAGAGTTACGTCGAAGATTTGACTAATGCTAGTGATGGATGTACCGATGACAGTTAGATTAGGTCGCAAGTTTAACCTACACCTGATGAAATCCCTTCTTAAGAACGCATAAAAAAGATAAATTCATTTACACAATTGACCCTTCTCCTAAAATACCGGCACTAGGCATTCATTATCATTCGAAATGATACCAGATAGTATTTTGATCCATATTTAAGAGGCCTTGTAGATGCTTTGGCTAAAGGCGTTATAAAAATCTAGGTACCCAATTTTCAAATGAAAGTTCAAACTCTGTAAGTATTAACACCATAAAAGTGAGGTGTGCAAACAACCTCAAAATAGGGC